TAGACTCCACTGATGAAAGTGACCCAGGAGAGAGTAGGTGAAGGCAATGGGTATCTCCAACTCCTGGGTCTCACCTGATTCCCACCCCTCCTCGGAGCACCATGCTGGGTGTCTCTGCATACCGAGGTGTCTCTTTGATGTACCCCAGAATCAGAAGAAACCCCACTTCTGCCCCATTTCTTTGCCTCATCCATGAGATCTATAAAGAGGCAGTGCTTCCTACAGGGCCCAGGGCTAAGTGAGCCCAGGTCTGAGAAGGTTCTGGGGGAGAGGAGCTGCCCACAGGCATCTCCTGGCTCACCAGCGTGGCCAGCTACCCTGCTGGACATTACCAAGGAGATCCCACTCCTCTGGGTCCACCCCACGGAGCACTGGCAGGCCCTTCATCTGGGTCTGCTGGGCAGTTTTACCGAAGGGTAGAGCTAAAAAGGGAGAAGGAAAAACATGATGGACTACTCCACAAGCCCAGCCCTGGCCCCAGGGAAAATACCACGGTTGGAGCCTTCGGTAAGGAGATCCCAACTGCATCACAGAGTTCAAGACCTTCTGCCTTAGTGTGTGTGGCCTTATCTGCCTCAGTTTCCTGATCTATAAAGTGAGGGAGGTGAGTGCATGTGTGTGGAGGCTCCGTGCTCCTCTGGCACCAGCCTGTGGGGTCTGCTTGGGGCCGCTTGTATTCTGCAGCCCTTCCAAGAAGCCCACTCTGGCCCAGGCATTGTCCTGGCCCTGCAGGGAAAACACACAGTTAGGGCCTGGAGCAGTAAACATAGTGTTTATTAAAGAAAAAGGCTGGGACTGAGGGAGGCAGTGAGAGCAAAGGCTGGGAAGACTTCTTGGAGGGCAAGCACCTGTAAGATGGGTTCGAAGAGCCAACCAAGGAGCACACCCCCTGCATGTGTTAAGCAGGATGGCAGGGAATGGGTTCAAGCAGCCACTGGGGTTAGCTGCCCCTGGACTGCACCCTGGACTGCAACCAACTGTTTGGGTTTCCAGCTCCCTCCTCCTTGCTCGAGGCCAGACCTTATCTTGTCATCTAGACTGTCCCCAGAGCCTCAGAGCCTTGGAGCAGCACAGGCCAGGCAGGGCCAGGTGCTCGCACAGAGTGTGAACCGTGTACCAAAAACCACACCAAGAGTGCCAGGAAAAAAATGGAAAATGCTGTCTGTTTCACAAAAAGTCTGTTTAAGGTGCCGTTTATGAATGAGAAAAGGAAGCTCCCAAGGCACTCTGTTTCCAGCAGGTACAGGCCTAGGGGCAAGGTACCTCCAGGAGCCCCAAAGCTGTTTCTCAGAATGTACCATGCCCCCAGCCAGTCAGCTCAACTCCCACAGCAACCACTCCTAGCTTCAGCTGGGCCTGAGGTTCTGGGGAAATACTGCCCCTGATGTACGGCTCCCCTTCCTGCAAACTGTAGCAAGAAAAGGAAAAACCCACCTCTCTTTCCCTGCCCAAACCCGATTTTAAATTGTCCTCCACACTCTGCAGATGAGACCTGATTTCTAAGCATGGTTTCTTCTTTTTTAATGATCCTGAAGGTGATAACAGCTCAGGTCACAGGTGTTAGATTGGAAAAAGAAGCGTCATGGAGACTCCAACTCTGATAGATCGTGGGGAGAGGCTAAAGCGCCTACTGTAGGAAGTTCACACGTATGTTCCCGGGGTCCCTTATACAACTGAGCCTTAGCCCCAAGCAGGCCAAATCCAAATAAAACTCCTCCACCCCGTCCAGAGCCTGGCCCAGCACTCCTGACTTCCATCACTTCCACCAACAGGTGGTGGGTCGGGGGTTGGGGGGCAGCTCAGACTGAACCCCTAATCAAAAGGAAACTACAGGGTACATACGAGGGTCTCCCATGCAAAGGTTTAGCACTTCACAAGTTTAGAACTAAACATAATCTCTGCGGAAATAGCTACAAGTGACACAGACATCAAAGGAAGCAAATGGGGAGGAACGGAAACACAGCCTGATAAATGATGTAACTGAGTTTACCCTTTGCGGGGCCCAGCTGGACTCCTGTTCTTCCCTGGTTATGACAGTGGTCACCGTGCCCTGGGATCCCCGGAGAGCTGGGGCGGAACTCAGGGTAATATCCCTCCAAAGCCTTTTAGGAAAGCGCGGCCACAGATTCAATGCGAAGTGGTAATTACATACGTTTTAAAAATCCATCTCACAGAGCAAGCTAATAGCTGCATCTGAAAAGAAGCCTTCATTCGTGGCTGCCCAGCACCAGCGGCTCCCGTCCCAGCCTTGGAGACTTGGACAAAAAGTTAAAGCACGCTCAAGAAATAGCTCAAGGTTAGATTAAAAATCAGAACGCCCATGAAGATTAACCTGACTCATTAATATCACTGCCCAATAGGAGACAAATCCTTGGAGGGCAAGGCTTGGGACCGGGTTTTGTTCTAGGCCTAGGAGCACCTTAATTTGCATTTATATTAAAAAAGAAAATAACAGAATTAACTGGAAAGGTGTTTTGTTTCCTGTAAATTTGAGCTCTTCTGCTACACAGCTTCCTACGGCAGAGAGCGGAGGCTCAATCAGGCTCCGTCCAAGAGCGCAGATTCCATTCCTACTAAGCACCAGCCACACTGTGCCTGGTAGCTGCAGCCGACGGAATCTCACCTGGACCTTAAAAGTCAGCCTGTCAGGTAGTTATTGTGAGACATCCCTTCTACAGGTGGGGAAACTGAGGTCAGGAGTTGGGGAATGCCCTCCCTATGGTCTTTACACTACAGCAGAATTCAGATTCCAAGTCAGGTCTGTGGGTTCCAAGTTGAATGTCTTTCCACAACAGGATAGCTATGTTAGTGTGAGAGCTGTGTTTTATTCACACACACACACACACACACACACACACACACAATTTTTTCCCAACCTTTCTTTCCAGAAAATCAGTGGAAAGCCCAAAGAAGGAAGCAAGGAAAATCAGCGAATTCCTCAGATGGCCTCTGGTCCCTTATTCGTACAAGTCCCACAGCCCTGAGCGAAGCCGACAGCCTCCATTTAGCTACACTTCCCTTGACAGCTTCTCTTTGGAGTTTTAACCATGACAGGCATACACCCAGAGCTACCAATCAGAATCAATCACGGAAACAGACCTCAATAAAAACTTCATCAGTCTCAACAATGTATTTCTTAAGGAAAACTGGCACATTTCAGGGTTTGCTTTTAACACCAATCCTCTCCTCAATGTTGCAGCTCAACTCTCGGGATCAGCCAAGCATTTTATGTGCCTGTTTTACTACTGGAAGCCAGCATGCTAGCCAATTTCACCTGTCTTCCATCTTCAACCCGAAAGGCATGTTTAAGGGGCTTGGGGCTTTCTCCTCTCCCCAGGGGTGGCCAGTTTCAGAGGCATATTTCTTATTCTCCAGCTCTCCAGCACACAGGCCCCTGTCCCCTAGAATCACTGCCCTGTGCATCTGCGTGCCACTGCCACAGTTTAAAGCCAGAGATGATGGGAATGACTGGCCCTCTCAGATGCTGGAAACACAGTGTGGGAAGGGAAGGAGTCATCTGTATTTGGGGTGCTGGGCAAAGGGCGTGGGGCAAGCAAGAGCCAAGCTGATTATGTAGATAACAGAAGGACAATTTCCTTCACAAACAGAAAAACCTGCACCAATGAATTAAACATTTAAAACAAGATGACTCTCTAAAAAGTATTTTCAACCAAGAAGGAAAGACAAGCCGTCCTGTGCTGGCGCTTCCTGTTGCATATGGCACTGAGAAATCCTGTTTTTTCAGTATGCAGAGATTTCCAGACAAAGAAAAATATCAAGAGGGAAATTAGAAGAGGAGGTCCAGAGAAGGGAGACAGGAAGAGCTGGGAAGAAGGGAGCGGGGAAGGAAGAAGTCCCTGCCCAGGGCACAGGAGTGTCAAGCCCTGAGGGGTGCAGGAAACAGACCACCCCCACTAACACACTGGTCTTGGCAGGTCCAAGGAGATGGCCCTAGAGAGGCAGCCTGCCTCACTGGGGCAAGTGAACCACAGAGAAACCACCCTGCCTCCTGCCATGCAGGGTATCCACAGCGTCCACCCGGATGAAGGGACCTGCCCCAGCTCCCACAGGTCTCCAAGTATAACGTCTGGGAGTCCTCCCAGCCCCCAGCCCTAAAGGGGACACTGCCCTCGGGACCCACCAGAGACCCTACTCTGTGAATAGCGCCCTTGGCAGTGGGGCTGGCAGGCATCCCTGCAGTTTACCAGCTGGACCCCTCTCGTGACTGAGGCTCAAGTTCCCTGGTTTGTGGGCAATATCTAGACTGGCCTTTCCCATTGTCACAGCCTAGGGAGTGGGCAGGTTCTGCCCTGCCCCCACTCTCCACCTCTACTGAGAGCAACTGAGGGGCTGCCACCCCCACCGCAAGCACCAGAGAGCAAACTCTCTCCTCCCAGGGGCCTGGAAAGTCCAAGCTCCAGAACTGGAACTCAGGGAAAAAAAGGACCCGGGGAAGAAAGATGAAATCTGAGCTCAGCGAAGCCTGCAGGGGGGTCCAGGGGTTGCGGAGGGTCAGTGCCTCCCATGCCTCAGGCGCACTGCCCTGCCACCTGAGTCCCTCTAGGAGCCATGGGTGCCAGGCCAGCCCTCTCCAACTCCCAGAGAGGTAGTAAGTGTAAGGCTCAGAGCCCCGCGCAGCCCAGCCCGCGCCGGGGCGGTGGGTGGGTGGGTGTCTGCTATGGGATTATTCTTAGCGCTCCACTCTCTTCGCAAAAGTGGCGCCTCCGCCCTCCCGGCTCAGGCACACCCGCTTGGGGCTCGCACGCCCGGCCCAGACACCAGCGCGGTGGAGAGCACCGGGTGGGGGTCCCCGAACGGTGAGGCTCGGAGGCGCTGCAGAGGTGGGGGCTCCCTAGAGAGGAGGGGGCGCTGCAGGAAGGCCCCCAAGGGAGGCTGCGTTTAACCCTCGACGCCCTGCACCCAGCCCTGCGCCGCGCGCTCAGCCGCCTCCCCGGACTCCTCCCGGGGCGCGAGAGCCCGGCGGCGCGCCCAGCCCTTACCTATGGTGGTGATGACCGTGATGGCAAAGTAGAAGGAGCCGGCGAATTTCCACTGGACGCCGGCGCGGTGCGGCTCCGACTGCAGGATCACCAGCTCCAGCTGCCGGTAGTCCTCGCTGCTGATGTTGTACTTCCCCTTGATCCGGATCTCCTCGGCTTTGAGTTTCTCCTCCTCGCGCATCTCGTGGTCCGACTCGAGGGCGTCGAACACGGCGGCGCCCACCAGCAGGTAGGTGAAGGTGCAGACGATGAGGGACAGAGTCCGCACGTTCTGCCTCTTCATGGCCGCCAGCAAGGAGCCGGCGCGGGGGGCATGTCCCGCAGGCTCACAGCCGCGCGCGTCCCACTGCAGCGCCCGGCGGCCGCCGCCGCCTCCTCCTCCGCCGCCGCCGCCGCCGCCTCCAAGTTGTAAGCGGCGGCGGCAGCAGCAGCAGCAGCAGCGGGGAGGCGGGGGGCGGGGAGGCTGGGGGGGGCCCCCTCCGCTGGGGCCGCCACAGCCACCGCCACCGCGAGGCGGCTGGCGGGGCAGGGGCGGCGCGGGCCCGGGCTCAGCCGAGAAGGCGGACAGGCACAGGAGGCTGCTAGAGCGCCGGGGCCAGGCGTCCGGGAACCCCGACACCCTGCGCCAGACCCGGCCGAAGCAGCCCGCCCCACTGCGCAGGGCCATGCAGGGCGGCCCCGCTGGGTACCGCGCGGGCCTCGCTGCCCTCCGCACCCCGCCCCCCGCTCCCGCGGGAAAAGCAGGGACGGGAACCGGAGCCAGAAAGCGGCCGGAGGGCGGCCGCGGGGCCCGGTACCCCTGTGGGTCCAGCTTGCGGGTGGCGGCGCCCAGCAAGGAGCCTGCAGGTCCGCGCGCCCCGCGGGACCTGCTTCCCCTTTTACCCCTCCTCGCCCCCTCTCGGTGGTGGGGAGGAAAAGTTTGCGAAGTGGCGGTGTCTCTGGAGTCCCCTGCAAGCGGGGAGGGGGCCGAGCAGGTGCAGCGGGCGGGGCAGCCGGCTCCCCAAAGGTCCGCGCGCCTAGCGCCCACCCGGGCGCGCGGGTGCGCAGCGGGGTCCCCGCCGGGCGTCGGCCGGTGCGCGAAGTTTGCTCGGCTCAACCCCTAAGGCACGGGAGCGGGGCGCGGCCCCAGGGCAGCAGGGACCGCGATGGAGCGGCTTCGGGGGCTGCCCGGGGACAGCAAGGTGGCGGTCGGCCAGCCCGCTCCTCCGGGGGCGGCGGGCGCGGCGGCGGTGGCGGGAGGGGTCCCGCGGGCCTCGCGGAGCAGCGGGGCGGACGCGGGCGCATGAGCCGCGCGCGAGTCGGGGCCCTCCGGCGTCCGGGCGTCCCGGGAGGCGGCCGCGGCGCTGGTCTGCCCCGGGCGCTACGTGCGTGCGCGCCGTTGGGAGCCCGAATGTGTGTGTGCGCGTGTGTGTATGTGCGTGTGTGTGTGTGTGTGTGCGCTTGGCAGCCCCGCTCCGGCGGGAGGGCCTCGGGGAGCGGGGGCCGGGCTACGCCGAGGCCGGGCCTCCCTCCCTCCCTCCCGCAGCCTCCAGGGCGCGCCACCTCCCGCCTGGTCCCCAGCCAGTTGGCGAGGCTGCTGTGGCAGCTCCCGCTGCAGACCCAGCGCGGCGCAGGGCGCACGCGGAGGGAGCCCGGGAGGGGCGGCCTGAGCCGCCAGGGAGGGGGCGGGGGCGGAGCCGCCGGCGGGTTTTGGCGGGGGATGGGAGGATAAACGAGGCTGCTTGGGTCCTTCTAGCCCCGCTCCCCAAGAGCGCGAGCAGCCCTGGAGGGTGGAGAGTTTGAGGGACTCGGGGTTGGGGGAGGAAAATGGGATTCAGCCCGAGATGGCAAGCTGGCAGCTTCAGGCAAATCGGGCGGAGAGTGGGGAGCAGAAGGGGAGGGGGCCATGGGCACACAGGAGCGCGGCGGCAGCGGTGCACGAAGTCTCCCGCACCCCCCACACCCCACCTAGCCACCCGGCGCGGGAGCGTGTCATTGGCCAGGGACATGGCCTCGTGGAGTGGTAGGGTCCCGAGGGCTGCCTCGGACCCCTGGCCTCCCAGCGGCACAGCCCGCTTGGGCCAGCACCTGCAGACCTGAGTCGTTTCCCTGGAGAGAGCTAAGGACAGCATGGGCGGCCAGTTTTGGAGTCAGGACAGCGGGGAAAGATATCGCAATCCCCCGACCCAGTACCCTCTCTGTTGCTTTACTGAAGAAAAAAAAAAAACAAAAAAACAATATATATACACACACACATATACATATATAAATAAAATCACTCTTTGGTTCCCCACAGCTGGGCGCAAGGTGCGTCCTGGATGCAGCCCTGAGCTACGCAGAAGCCCCCTCAGGACCACCTAGGGTAGGAACATGAGACTCGGGCCGGGGCGCACCTATTCCCTGCTTCCAGATGAGCCCTCTCCAGGCTTTATCTCCTTCCCATTTCAGCCTCCTTTGCCTCCTCCCCCTCCCCGCCCTCTCCGTTTAGGCTATCGAGGGGCTTTCCCTTGACCACCGGCTTCCTGAATCCCGCCTGGAGCAGTGGAGCTCCAAACTGACAGACCCAAGCCTCAGAGACCCCGGGGCTCCCCTTCCTCTCCTGACCCCAGCCAAGGAAGGGATGGAGTGGGAAAGGGTCGCCTGGCGGCGGGTTAGCAGCTGGCCAGGGGGTGGCCGGCTGGGGAATCAGACCTAACCCTCGCGCACCTCGCGGGCTCCAGGAGACCAGCCCCTCTGTGGGTCGCCCTCTGGAGTGGTGCTCCGGCTCCCCGGCCTCAGGGACCCTAGGCCCAGCGGGTCTGGGACCCCAGTGCTTCACCGAGGACCCCCAGCTTGGACTCTCTGCACCCCACTTCCAGGGCTCACGGGTGCCCACCAGGAAAGGGGAGCCCGCGCTGTGGGCTACGTCTGAGCCGTCAGGTCCTCGCTGGGTCTGCGGGCGCGGGGCGAGGGAGCGGGGAGCCCCACCCCGAGCAGGCACTTTCCCCAGATTCATTTTGGAAACCAAGGCCCCCGCGCTCGGCAAGTGAGCCTGGCTGCCGGGTGAGTCACCGCGAGCGGGCGACAAGGATTCCCAGCAGCTGGTAATTAATTGCGCCGTGGCTCAGCCCACGACGGAACCCCAGTCAGGCCTCCCGCCGCCCTGGCAGCGGCGCCACCCCTGAGTCACAGCCGTCGGGCCTCCGCGCGGTCCGGAAGCCGCCTGCCCGCCTCGGCGCCGCCAGGGGGCACTGGACTCCGACCCACGGGGCGGCCGCGCAGCCGGTCTCGCTGCGGGGAAGTCCAGGCTGTCCCCGCGGCAGCGCGGGCGGGGGAGGGGCGCGCCGGCAGACGCGGCGCTCTGCAGAGCCACTTCGATTTGGTTTACGGAACTCCATTTGCATACAGCCTTTCAGGAAAGCGCAACCGCTGTGTGCGTACTGGAAGGACCTCTGAGATGAATTACTCCAAACCCCTTGTTTTACAGATGGGAAAACTTCCAGCAAGACAGGATCACGTGCCCAGGATCCCACAGTGATTCCGATGTGGAGCCAGTCCTGGAAGCTTCTCCCTGGCTTCTGTCTAGCGCTCCTTCGAGGACCCCCGCTGTTTTATGGCCCCAAGCTTAGAGTGCCTTGAGTGGCCACCCACCAGCCCCCAGACGCTGGTTCTTCCTCTCTTCCACCTGTGGGAATAGACCCGTGGACTCAGGTCCTCCCAGGCAGTGTCTGAGCCTTGAAAGCAGAGGGTTCCTGGTCCGCCCGTCCACACCCCGCATGTGCCACCTTCCAAGGCTCTGGACCTGCGGGTGGAATGGGAGCTCCTCGGAGCAAAGCCTGGGGCTCAATCAAGTATCTTCCCTACATCCCCGGCATCCATCCCGGATGGTGTGTGCCACACGGCAGCCCAGAGAGTCTGGCTGGGGGCAGTGCCTCTGGATGCCTGCCTCCCTCGCAGCCCCTGTGGGTCTGGGTGTCCCAACTCTAGCCCCACCTGGAGAAGGATGTGGAACTGAGGTATGGCCTGAGTCCAGAATTCCCCAGGGCCACGATGATTGGCTGGACTTGGACGTGTGAAGGTGCGCCTCAACAATCAGAGTCCTCCTCTGGTTGGTTATAAAGCTGTCAGCAGATAGGTGACCTGAAAAGGGAGGCGGGTCCTTCCTGACTCTTTGAGAACCCCAATGCAGGCACGTGGCACACATGAGAGCCACCCAACTGGGGTGAGCAGGTGTATTCTCTTGTGGGCTTAAGCCACCGTCAGTTGGTCCCAAGCCTGCCAGGTGCTGCTGGTGCCCTTGTGCTGTGTTCACAGCCTGTCTGCGCCCTCCAGCAGCCCCAACATGGGCCTCCCTTGGACCTCAGTTTCTGTGAAAACAGATGTACCTTATTAGCTAATAAAGAACATCATGGTTTTATAACTATGTGCTTGCTGCCTACTTGTTTGCTTCGTTCTTTACACACAGTGGGTGTGCCTGCAGCCCCTGTTCTTACCCAGAGAGGCCCACCAGTTTATCCTGGTCCCACACTAAGGGAGGACCCAACTCCCAGGTCAGTGTTTCTTCCACATCACCGCAGTGCATCTGAGCCAAGGCGGGCTGTCTGCTTCTCCACAACATCCTGATTCCTTGGGTATATTTAACGCTTTGTCACATTAATGCCCACATCTTTGAAAAAGGTAGGGGTGCCCATTTTACAGATGGGGAAGGCTAGAGAGGCGAGTGGGGCCATAGGTGGGTTCACTGATCCTGGTGTACAGCCTGCCCTTCCCTCCACCTCTGCCTGGGGCAGACATTGCTCATTGACCCCAGCACTGTCTTTGGCTGGGGTCTATAACAGCTGGAGAATCTTTCACACAGGGGTATACATAAGGCCGTTCCTGGACTTAACACTGACCTGTTTACTTTCAAGGAAGGTGAGGCACCAAGAAGTCCAGTGGCCTCAAATCACAGAGAGAGGCTGTAATGAGTCTCCCCTTCCTCAGTGGCCTCCCTGCCAGATGTAGAGATTCCTCACTCTGCTCCTAGCTGATTTCTCAAGGCCAGTGACATTTGCACAGTTGATGGTACAGTTGATAACTTTAGACTTCCAGTGTCAGATTCCAGAGAAAAGCACTTCCAAGACAGGCAGCCATGCTCATCCAGGGGTTCCCAGCCTCCTCTTCAGAATGTGAACAAGTGTGTTCTGTGGTTATACAGTTTGAGAAACACTGGGTTAAATAGGGGCAGGTGCAGGACTTCTCAGAGCCTTTGTTCTGCTAACAGGCATGGTGACCCCTAGACGCTGTGAGCAGCGTTTCCCAAACTCATTCAGCTGCAGCATCAGGTCCTGAGGACTGTGCTTTGGGGAATTGCTGGCCCAGCCCAGATACCTTTACTGGGAGGCAGGAGGTCTTGGTTCCGCTTCTGGCTCTGCATAGACAAGCCCTGCACCAGTTCTAGTCCTTCAGCCACCTCACTGGCCCTGCTGCCTGCAGCTGAACCTCCTGCTATCTTCTCCACCTGCCACCAGGGCCACCTTCTTAACAGGCTGACTCTTGGTGAAAACTGTCCAGGAGCCTGTGGGTCAAGTCTAAGCTCAGCGTGGCATTCCCATCCTGATATCTGGCCTCCATGACCTCTCTCACCCAGCCCCTCTTCCCCATCTCTTAGGATTCAGCTCTGGCGGTCTCTCCTCCAGAAGTTTCCCTGCCCCTACAGGCTGGACTAGACCCCTGTGTCCCTGCATATACTCCTGGCAGAACACTTCTATCACAATGACTCATTTGGGGACTGCCACTCTCCCCCAACAGACTGTCAGCTCCTTGAGGGCAGGGGCCACATCTGACCCAACCTGGCCACAAAGGGCCTGCCACACAGTAGGTGCACAATGAATATTTGATGAGAATGAAAGAACAGGGTTTGGTTCAATCATCAGTCATCGTTCCTTGTGAGAGCTCTCATAGGAAGGCAGAAGAAGTAGTTGCAGGAGAGCCAGGGAACACAAGGCTGTGCATATGGCAGAGATGGCCCAGGCCATGACTGAGAGAGTCCCCAAGGTTAAGGCCTTGGCTCTAATGTCTGTGGGTGTCCAATATAGTGAGGAGGGAGGAAAAGGAGCAAGACAGATAGAGGTGGAAGAGAAATAATAAAGCAAAGAGAAAGAGGCTCAAATGGTGAAAAGAGAGGGGAGTGGGACTACAGGTGGGCTCACTGATCCTGGCATACAACCTGCCCTTCCCTCCACCTCTGGCCAGAGTAGACATTGCTAATCAATCCCACCACTGTCTCCGGCTGGGGTCTATTACAGCCTGAGAATCTTGAACAGGGGTACACATAAGGCCATTCCTGGACTCAGCACTGACCTGATTCCTTTCAAGGCCCCAGCTGAGAAGGCAAAGAAGATTTTAAACCCAGTGTGAGAGAAGAGAGGAGCCAGGAGGGCGTGGCAGTGATGGTGTATGCGGCACGGAGAAAGGAGGCCCCTGTGTGCTGATCCAGGTGAGTACATACGTCTCAACCACCTGCTGGATGTGGAGCCAGAGCTGGCGCATTCCCTGCTGTAACTTGAGTCTTCAGAACAAGACTCAGGATAAGACTTCAGGATAAGACTGGGAGACTGTCACTATCATTCCCACTGGCCAGTGACAAAGCCAAGGGTCTCTGAGCATACAACAGTTGCTGTGGGAGGAGTCCTTTGAAAGGCACTGCCTCTGCAGGGCCAGGAGTTGGGGAAAGGAGTGTCCTTCTTCACCAGGCACGGGCCACAAGGGTTTGGGCCAGTGTGGCAACCAGAAAACTGAGATGGAAGACGGAGGAGCGACCCAGGCCCTGGTACACAGTAGGTGCTCAGAACTTGTTTCATTGGCTCCCTGATAAATCCAAAAATGGCAAGAGGAGTCCCCAGGACTCAGTTAGTGATGAGGTGAGCGCCAGGAGGAAGGGAGGCAGGAATCTGGCTCAGAACTTCTGAGAGACAAGGGGCAGAGCCAGCAGTGGAAGAGGGGAACCGAGGCCAGGCCTGACTGAGCTCAGGTGACCTTTGAGTTATTAGACCTCCAGCTGCCCAGGAAGTGAGCGGGTGACTTGTGGACATGAGCCCAAACTGGATGGGGTCTCTCCCTTAGATGCCAAGCCCTGGTGGTCTTCCTGGGCATTTTCAAGCTCAAAGCTTCTTGGTGTGCCAGGGGGTGTCCTTGTGGCCACATGGGCAAAGGTGCTGGCATGGCTGACGCCCACACTGCACAGTAAGAGGATAGGAGGTGGAATTGGGCCCAGAGTGGGGTGGATCTGCCCCAGAGCTAGGGAACTTTTAAGAGCAGGGATTTCATTTGAATAGATGATGAGCAGATCAGTCCCAGACTCAAGATCACATAGCAAAGGAGGGAAAAGCCAGGCCAAGCCCCCCTCCTTCAAGGCCCTCTCCGCTTAAGCCAAGGACGCCCCCCCACCAAGCTGCACACATGCACTTGCCCTTGCTTTATTAGAGGAAATCTGATTAGCGGATATCAGGCTTCTTAATGCAGCCTGAACCACTGCCCATCTCCACGCCTGATCCATAAATAGCTACATTACATTCCCCACGGAGCACAAGCGGCTGCCAGGATCAATCGGACAATCTGCAGAGGCTCTTCTGGCCAACACATCCCAAGAGGGGCTGCAGTGGGTATGAAACCTACGTCGCCA